CTGACGACAGAGAAAGGGACTTTCTCCATCATGTGTTTAATTTGGTCTGCAGCTGATGTTGCATTTGGTCCTCAGCTGAAGGTCACTAGATAGTTTATTGTCTTTGGTCTCTGGGGAAACCTTGGTAGTTGAGAGACCAGAAAATGTGGGAATTTGAAAGAGCAGAGGGGCAAAAAGATGGCTCAGGTCCTAATCCAAGTTTGAAATAAGCCGTTCAGTTTCCAGTATTACTCTTTTTGTCCACATGACACATACTAGGCACTCTGACAAAGGATTATGGAAAAATGAAAATCAAAGCCCCACTGCCCTCACAGATTTACAGTCCACATAACTTGGTAGAGAAGACCACCACCTCTTACTTCTAACTTCTGTCTGTGGGAAGAGAAAAGTCCTTTGGATAAGAAGTGCTCATATATTCATTTTTTGAAAAGTATTTTTACCTTGTTGAAATTGGAGTTATCTTCTCCGTCAATTTGTTGACTTATCTCATTAAGAACTGCTGTTATCTTTAAAATACTCTTAGATGAAATATGAAAGAGCCTTTTCTATGTGATTGAGTCCCAGCCGGACTCTCTCAGCTGGGCCACCTCAGATAAACATATCTTCAGCGTCACAACCTTCAATCTTCATCCATATGCCACGGTGGTCATGGCTCATCTCTTTTTCATAAGGAAGCAGGAGTGTAGGTTTCTAATTATACATTTGCACTTGTTGGGGAGGAGCAGTGGGATGAGAGGTATGATCAGACAATTTTTAAATAAACATTTTAGAAGTTATGGAAGGTCCCTGGAAGACTCTAACTTTGTTCTTCTTGGACTCATATTCAGAGACCGAGATATTCTATTGAAACCCTCCGAGTCTTTTAGCAGTTCCTCTTTAAAGAAATGCTATCATTCCATTCTTTGGGGACGGTGGAACAATGCGGCTTGTGTGCTCAAACCACTTGGAGCATTAATACACTGTTTCTTTAGAAGGATTTGCTTTCCAAAGTTGAACTTTCAGAACTCAGAACACCTTATCACACTTTCACAAGCTTTCTCTCTGAAAATGGAAAAAGAAAAAGGGAGGGGGGAGCCTGTTAGGACTTGTGCCAGTTAAATCCGATCTCTCCGGGGATTTGTTTTTCTTCTGGCGTCAGATTAGATGTTCAAATCAAGCAGTGTTTGAGGGCTGGGAGGGAATGTCCATGGGATTCTTAGTGAGGCTAATCCCGAAGCAGCACATTCCAAGGGGCTAATCTGCCCAAGTTCATTGCTTACTTGAAACGTCTCTTGGGGGAAGAGCTGGACAAGTGACTTTTTTTCCAGTGGGCGGTCATAAGAGCATTATTAACGGGATGACCAGCCCCAGCCGCAGCAAAATGAAAGCAACAGGAGCTGCTTGGGGGACTGCCTTTGCCAGCACCCAGAGTCAGTGCTCAGGTAAAATGATTTCAGCTACCTTTTTCTCTTGTTCAACTTCTCGATGTTGGATCTAGGGACCTGTAGGAAGACCAAAGACCAACACCCAGGAAAGTGTTGAGGGAAAGGGCAAAATGAACTTTCGCATTCAGTATCATTGGGTCTTGGGTGTTTTGCTCTGATGGAGACAGGGTGAAATGTGAGAGTGTGATCATGAGAACCATGGTGAATTTTTCCTTGTGATTTTTTTTCCTATAAAGTTAGTGGACTCTTTTTTTTCTAGTTTGCGATTACCGGTCTGGGTTGTTGTCCTTCTGTTAAGCTGCCCTGCTAAAGAGTAGATTGCAATAACGCTTTCCAAGGTTTCTTGGAGATGGATTTAATATACACAGTGTGTGTACTTGTAAATCATTCCTACCTGGAGAAGTTCTTTTTTCCGTAGCCAGCGGGGAGGGCATGGTAAGAAGACTCAAAGTAGTTTAGGGGACTAATGTTTGTAACAGAGATTTTGTGAAAAAGAGTTAAAACCTGCTTAAATGAAATGACTTAATGTTTTGAAGCAATAGTTGCAGATCTTTTTTGTTTTTATCATGTTGATGCCTTATAAACTGTATGCTTAACTTTCAAAATTGTACTTGCTTTATTCTTTGAGGGTAATCATTAATTATGCCTCTTCAATGTGAGTGTCCCCATTATTGTTTTGAATATGATGTCTTTTAATTATTAGCCTTTGAAAAACACTTCCCTATTACACATCACACATGACTGATAATGCAGAAAGACAAGAAAGAAAATAGCTCTCCACAAGCTCAGTCATGGTTATGTGACCATTTTACCTTTAGAAAAGAATGTACAAAAGTGGTTTTCTGAAGGCTGGTAGAAGCCATCTTTTTTAAGAGTGCATGAGACTTCCGAAGCATATTAAAAGAGAAAAGATTTTAGGACACAAGTTCTGTTAAAGTTTTGTATTAGAAGAGAATTAAAGGGACAACTAGAAACACAGCATGTCAAAACTATTTCATGCTTTCTAATAATGAGAATAACCATTCTTAGCTAACTTAGTTGGATATTAAAGCAAAGTATAAAGCTTCATGCAGAGCAGTTCAAAGCCTTTGAACAAAAGGTAAAGGAATTAGTTTAGGGAAAAAGTTAAACCATGATTATACATCAAATATGCCCTCTGAAAGAAAATAATTTTAAAAATTGAATGTTTTCCATGCTAAAGACCTGAATACAAGCACAATAAAGCAAAACCCACAATAGAACATAATCAATTATGCATAATATTTTGTGGAATTCCTAATTCATATATGCATTCTTCCTATTATGTATTATACTTTTGTTCTAAAAAAATTCAATTCAGTTATGACTGATGGGAAGATTTCTTTATGTTACGTTTCTCTTGTGTTTCCCTCCCAATTTTTGTGCCTTTTGCAAGGGAAATGGTTGATCTGCTAATAATAAGAAGTAGAAACTGATTTTCAATCTTTTTGCTAACAATGAGGTAGCATTTCACCTTTGAGAAGGTGATTAAGTTGCTCAACCATACACAAGTCAAATTACTTTTACTTAAAGACTACCAGACAAGCTGGCAATCCACATGCAGTCATTCTTACCACACACCATCTGACCAAAACTTTCAGGGCCTTCCAAGTTGACACTGGGATCCATGAGTGAAATAATGATAGTGTCCTTGAAAAGTTTAATCCATTTGTCATGGTTCTGTTGTGATTACATTTCCTGGCTGTAGCCATGGCTTTACTTCCTTCTCAGATTCTATTGTCTTCTTAATATCCCACCTTTGTCCTTTACCCCAAGGAGAGAAGAAGAACAGATAACAGAATGTTATCTGTTTTCTAAACATAACACACTGGAAGAGGGGAATGAAAAGGGGAAAGATGCAAGTATGAACTAGTTTTAAGATATGTCTCTAAAGTCCAGTTCTGTCCCCAAATGTTAGGGTACTCCAGGGCATGCTCAGGTGGCACTGCCCACGTTGAGGGCATTTCATGTCAATAATATCCAATGTGGAGGGGTAGCTTAGCAGTGTGGGTAAGAGTGTAAACTCTCAAACTAGACTGCTCAAACTCAAACCCTGGCCCTCTCTGCCTTAATTTCTTCATTGGCAAAGTGGGTAAAACAGTAATGCTTCCTTCACAGAGTTTTAATGAGGATCCATGGAGATAATACATACATGGCACAATGCCAAGCACATGGTGCACCCTTACTAAATGTTAGCCATTGTTATTACCTTCTGAGCTCCTACCACCTACCAGGTGCTTTATTTGAATCATCTGGTTTGATTATCACAAGAAGTCTTCAAAGTAGCTATGATTATCCACATGTAAGAGAGGAGGTTCAGAAAAGTTAAATAACTTTCCCGTATACCCTGTTAGTGATCAGCCAAACCTTCTGGACACCTACCATTTCCAACACAAAGGGAGATCAATTTAGGTGAGGTCTCCTACAGAAATTTCCTAGTACCCTTGTCTGAATCTTCGTCTGAACTTTTAGTACCAGATTCAACTCAGGGTGGGTCCTTCTTCTTGGAGAGAAAGCGTGGTACTCCCCAAGTAATAAGAACTCTGTGTGTCAGGTATTACTGTTATGCCCATTTCATAGATAAGGAAAACTGAGGATCTAATAAATAACATGTCTTTCTCCAGGTTTCAGAGTGCCAATCATGCCAATTTTTCTAACTGCAAGCTTCATGTTCATGTACAGCTTTTCCACTTTCTCTCAGTCCTTATTGGTCAGCATCCCTAAAATTCCCAGATGCTCCCCAAAAGTTCCTCTGAATATTGGCCAAAGTGGGACATAAAAAGAAAAGTGCATTCTTCCTTTTCTGCTCCCTGAGTTGTAGGAAAAGTTGGTTTCAAATGTCCAGTGAGGAACATTTTACTGTCTTCCTGCCAAGAGATATTATCAATGAAAGTATTCAGTGTCTAGAGAAAATCACAGCCTGTGAATAGTTTAGCTTACAGGCTTTTTGCAAAGATAAAGACTGGTTATCTATGCTGCTATGCTCATTTCTGTTGCAAAGATGTAGCCATTGGCTTTTCCTACATGTTTGAAAAGAAAAACCTTTGAGAATAGACATTCAGACTTTTTTCATGTTTAGCTGACCAACAAAACTGCAAGTGTTAGAGGCCCATCTGCACCTGAGGATCTCTGAGGCAATGTGGGTGCTGCTTTTCACATGCTTAATGCATGAACCCCCAGAAATGATGTGACCTGATACTGACCATGACTGAAACAGGATGCAGTTCCTTTGTGCCCCTCAAGCATTGTTCCTGTAGCTACTTGTAAAATGTGCGTTGTCATGAATATTAGCCAACTACTGCCTTCAGTGCCACATGCTTACATAGACCTCCCTTGTGAGAGAGGAGAGAGACTAAGGGGTTGAGGGCCAACCAGAACTTAGCATAGCTTATGCAGACATTCGAGTCATTGGCAGAGTCAAGACCATTTACAACCAACACATGGGGGCTTGTCACAGTTAACACCAGTCACTGAGATCCGTCAAGTAAACAGCACCGTAGTGCTGTAGCCTTGTATATTTTTAAGAGTACAGATTTAGTCCTGATGCTGGGTTAAGGAGAAGATGATACCATATAGAACTACCGTTACAGGTTGCTCTCGAAACTTCCATCTTAAATGTTTACAGAAGAAATCTTCTGAACAGCATATTGGATTTCACAGGAGACTCCTCTACTATTTCATATGCTGGTAAAGAAAGTAGGGAAGGGATGAAAGATGGACACTGCTTCAGAACAAAGATCATACAGTGTGCCGGAACATCCTTTGTCCGTATGGGAACCCAATCTCAGTAGCAAGATTTCTGGGTGCAGTGCCCATTCTAAGAAGCTGTATTTGCTGTGCTTAATGGCATATGGGATTCAAAGGGAAAGAAAGAAAGAAATGTACTATCTTCCTTCCAAAGGCATTACCTATCAAATTTGGGACTATGATAAAGACATTTATCTTCCTTGTATTTCCATTTCCTTATTTTTTCCTCTGTACTTAGGCATTGCTAATTTGGATGTTAGAAAAAGCATGGTGATAGATTAGAGCTTTGAGTTATGCAATTCTCCTGCCATTTTTCTTTTCTTCTACAAGGAAAATCTAATGGAAATGTCAGCCATGAAAACTTTAAACTTACTTAGATGAATTTCTTCCCACCACTGAATATTTATTTTCTATAAGATTACAAATATATTGTTCTATCGCTCCAAATGTATTTTCTCTGCAAATAGCTTTGTCTTTCTGTTCTTCAAAAATAATTATGAATTTGTATGTGCTTTTGTCACTCTTTTTATTATGGCCATTTCTTTTAACTCTTCACAATATTATAATGTTAAATAACCTAACCAGCCAGTTCTGAGAGTAATTGACTTTGTTATACACAGTGTATATGTGTGAAATGCAGTATATATATGTATAAATTCAACTCAATTTATGATATACTAGTTTATTATATGATTATGAAATTTTGAAGTCTAGTAAAAAATATTTAGAGGTTATGCTCACTCTTTCTTTCTTTTTTTTTTTTTTTCAGGCTCAGAAATCCTGGATAGAAAGAGCATTTTATAAAAGAGAATGTGTTCACATCATACCCAGCACCAAAGACCCCCATAGGTAATCTTGCTGTCTCTAATGTAACAGAAACATAAAATAGTAATTGTAGAATCAAACTACAAGAGTAATCACTCCCTGTGGCAAAGGAAATACTGTCAAATCAAAGATGATTCTTTTACTGATGATGGTCATCTTTGAAGCAGTCATATATACATACTACATAATATGCCATGCCTATAATCAATTCTTAATCTAACAACCTGTACAGAATTACATATATGCCATTGCATATAATCACTGTACATAAGAGTGGGCTATATTTTTTGTTATGGTTACTGGTTTTCCCTTCTAAGCATTTCATCCAAATGATTAGTTTGTAACATGTTCTGTAGGAAAAAAGAGGCCTTTAAATAATACTCCTGGCAGATTGCTAACTAGACTTCAGACCTTCAGATTCCCACTGTAGCACATTTTCAGTACTCTACTTGCCTTCCAAGACCAACAATACATAAGATTGGAAGCACTTGGGATAAAGTAGTGTATTTATTGAAAATGCCTTTACAAACAGTTCAATAGCTTAAAACATAAACTATAGATTTTTAGAGACTGTCTGTGTAACCTTGGGCAGAATACCTAACTTCAAAAACCACAATATTTCATCCATAAAAATGGATCCTAAATTGTTAGTGTTTAAAAAATGGTAGCTGCCTATGTGTTGTAACTATTATTACCAATAGTCATAATAATGGTAGTAGTAATATATGAAGGACATTTTCATGATAGAAGGAGCAAAGTTTAACTTTCTCATGAATTTTTTTCATTGTTTCTTCAAGAACACTTAAGCTTGCAATTTTTATTCTCCGAATTGGATATTTGACAGTGAATGTCAATTGGGAAGAGACAAGTTCGGTTGTGAGTCACATATAAGTGAGACTCCTCATTTAAATGTGCATGTTAAAATTCTTCCCTTGAAGCACTTCAGAGTCTTTTGTGCTTTAATAGACTTAATAAATGAGAGGGGAATGAAGTAGAAAAATCTAGAAAACTTTTGTTCACAGATGTCCAATCCTGAACAAAATGACAGGTGCGAAAAAGGTGGATGGGGAAAGGCAGGAGGCATATCAGAGCCTAACACAGCTAAATGAAAATGGGGAGGGGGAAGGGAAAAAAAGATGTGTATGTCATGGAAAGTCCCAGCTTACCATTTTCCTGATATACCCACACTATGGGATTCCACCTGGGAATTGACTAGAGTGTGTTGACAGGGACTGTAGATTTCTCCAACTGGCTGCCTTAAGGTGTTCCAGCAATAGCTAATACCAGAGGTTCACTTTAACCTCTTCTGCTACAGGTGTTGCTGTGGGCGTCTGATAGGCCAACATGTGGGCCTCACTCCCAGTATCTCTGTGCTTCAGAATGAGAAGAATGAAAGTCGCCTCTCCCGAAATGACATCCAGTCCGAGAAGTGGTCCATCAGCAAACACACTCAACTCAGCCCGACAGATGCTTTTGGGACCATTGAGTTCCAAGGAGGTGGCCATTCCAACAAAGCCATGGTAATCAGAAGGCCATTCAGTCGCTCCCAAATGCTACCTCGGGTCCTACAAAGGAGTGGTTAAGAGACTGGGATTTTATCTTTGGGACGATCTCAACTCTGCCACTTTCTGTCAGTTGGCCTGCACCTTAGAGCTCTTTTTCTTCTTTAAATTGGGGAAAGAAAATCTTCCTCCCAGGATTTTTAAAAACAATTAGTATGAGATCAGACTATTATTATTAATTATAAAAGACATAACTTCCTGTAGTTATCCACTGTTGATTATGTTATTTTCTGAGTAGTCTCATCTATGAAGATATATTTTTCTAACTTCTTTTTTTCCTTTGGTGAAAAATGTGTTACCTTTGGGTTTCTGTTTTATTCTGTTGGTAACTAGCATTTCTCTCAATTCCAGGTAGAAATGATCAACCCAGACTATTTATTTCCCTGTTTTAAGGGAGATCTTGCCAGACGAATTGAGTGCTTTTGCTCCAAGCAGATGTGTTAAATGATGTTCTCAACACAAGCCTCCATATGAAAAGGATTTAGGGGCTGGGGTAAAATGTACACATTTTACTTCTAAGAGTTGTCACTTCTAAATTTCACTTTTTATCATGGACTACTTTCTGCTTAGCTGACATATTTTGTCAGGAGAAAGTATAGCATGTGTTCTAGAAGTTCTAGAAATACTATAGTCCAATAAGCTTGCTTCTAACTGTTAAAAGAGAGAGAGTTTGCTGAGGGTGGAGCAGTAGAAGATGGTTGTTCCTAGACATGTCATGGAGTTTTCTGAGTTTTGGAGGAGAAATTTTGCTTAGAGAAGCATGCTTCAAAACACAGGCAGAGTCACCTCACATGCGTTGCATCTAAAAATGTGCAATGAAACCACCTCTCCTATTTTCTCACCTCTCCCCTCTTCCCCTCTCCTTATCTTTCCTTTTCACTCCCCCCTCACCTCCACTGCAGTAATTTCTTCACTAAGAATGACTGATTGAGCTATTTTCATAGTTCTTTCCTAAGAAAATTAATTTTGATCTATAAAAGTCCATTTTAAGCTATACTTTAGAAAGAAAAAGATGCTATTTGCAACCTCCAGCAAAGCTTGAAAAAAACAAAGAATGGGTTAGATAGTCTTGGCCTGTACAGAAATAAGGGAAATAGAAATTTGTCAACTTCTTCACTCACTTGAGAGAGACATTTGCCTACACAGTATTATTTAGTGTTGTCAACTCAGTAGAGTCGCTGTTCACAGGATGGGATTGAACCATATACAATGTAGATTCTCTAAAACCATGTGCTGAAAGTCATGCAAGTCCTCCCCATAATAAAAGTGCTGCCAATGAGGGCGTGGTTTACTTGGCAATAATCTTATAGTGTAATATAGCCAGTGCCTTCCCAGGATGTTTGAATGCTGCCTGCAAGCAACATGCCACAAGCCTAGTAGGCATATGATTAGCATCTGGTCATCATTTCCATTGTTAATATTTAGTGTCAAATATTGAAAGAAATATAGAAAGAAAATCTCTCTAGTCATCACCTTGGGATACTCTAATTACCATAATTGATCTGTCATTTTGGAACTCATTTCAGACAATTTATAAATCACAAGAAAAAAGTAGTCCATATTTTCATCAAATTATAGTTTTAGTGGAAAATTAATTTCAAATACCTGAAATCCCTAAAACTTAGAGCTTTGTCAATTTTTACAAGTCTGATCTATTCTAAAGATAAAGTTTTCCAACACTAAAAATATCTAAAAGAATAGAGTATTAGTTTAGTAGTGAAGAGTGGATTCTGGGTTCAAATAGTCCAAATTTAATCTAAAACTATCACATAGATGCTATGACATGGAGAAAGTTACTTAAATTTTCTAAGCCTCAGTAATTTATTCTGTTGTATAGATTGTTGATACTACTATCATAAGCATTAAATGAGATGGCATATTCAAAACATTTAGCACAGTACTGGGCACATCATAAATGTGTAAATAATTTACAGCCATTTATATTACTATCATCATTATTATTTGGTTTGGGTTCTTTTGACTAATACTTTGAAGGACCTTCATTTGGACATATATGTCTTGGCATATTATTTTAGAATACAAAATTAAATTTTTTCAGTTAACACTTTGAAATAATTCCAGAAGTTCTGACCCCTAAGCCTACTGGCTAACCATAGAATCTGAAGCCTCGTTGCATTTTATTTATAGCCTGACTCTGTCACTTACAGGCGATATGACTTTGTTCAGTTTACTTAGCTTTCCAGTGACTTAGTTTCCTCATTTATAAAATGGGTATAGTAATTCCTGCTTCATATGGCTGTCTCAATGATTATATACGTCACTTTATAGTAAATGCTTAGGGCAATGCCTTGTGTTAAAGTTTAAAAAATGTTTGTTATTGTTATTTCTCCTACAAAGAGTTAACTTACTATAGCTAAGAGAGAGGCTTTGTGATTGATTAAAGTAAGATGCGTGATTCAATGTCACGCAGAACTAGATATAAACTTCACTCTCTTACTGTTAACTAGAAAGTCTTAGTTAAACCATTTAACTTAACTGAATCTCAAGTTTTCTGATCTATAAAGCAGGCATAGTTGACTTATTTGATGTTTATGAAGATTAGAGAGAACATAAAAAGTACCTGGTATACCACTAGTGCTCAAGCTATTTATGAACATAAGAACTACTTATAAAAATAACAGAGATGAGGAGCAGTGAAGCAGCCTTCTTTAATTCCTAGGAGTCCAGAGACATGTTAGGATAGCTAGGATGTTTCCACAGGGGTACCAGGATGCACAAGCTGTCAAGTTGCTGCTCTATTCCACTGAACTGCATTGATGACAGTCACTCTCAGGACGGTGATGCCATTAACACTGGCCCAACAGTGATGGAGATATGTGGTCTGTGAATCACCACATGACATACTTTGACTTCTACATTCAATTTCTGGCATCTACTCATTCCAGCAAAACAGAAAGGGAGATACTGTTACCTGCCAACACCTCAACAATTAAACAGCTATTGTGGGTGTGCTGCTATGATTGACAAAGCCAAGATCATTCTGTCTATATAATTTTCTTCTATCTGAGCTTTGTTTTCTCAAATTTTATAAAGAGTTTGAGAGACCCTAAGAAACTCGGAGACTGAAGGTCCAAAACAGTAAATTAGAATGTGTGTTCTTCAAAGTACCAATCAAAATACTTTTGCAATTGCTTTCAGAATCTATAGTAAATGATAATGATGATCAGTAATAATACAGTAAAAAAATTATTGAACAGCTACTATGTTTCTGGCACTCTGCCAAGCACTTACCTATGTTATTGGATTTTATGTTTATGACAGTAGTAGTATTATTCCTCCTGGACAGACTAGCATACTGAGGCCCAGATAAATTAAGTCATTTGTCCCATGTCACAGAGCAAATACATGCTGTCTAGTATGCTATTTTGCAGTGGAAGGGAAGACTCTAAGAGGGAGATAGATCTTTCACTCTGCTCCAAAGAAGGGATACATATGGACACCAAACTTTGATAGCCCTCAGGCCACACGTGTCTCTATCAAACCCAGAGCTGTCTGTTGGTGATCAGGTTAAGCAAGGTCAAAGACATACTTTGTGGAGACCAGTGTAAAATGAAAATGTTGAGCCCCGGCAGGAACAGGGACATCAGTCCTCCCTTCCCATGGCTGGCATCCCTGAGTCTCAGGGGATAGGCGACCCATAAAAAAGATTGCCATCTCCATACCCAGACATGTTCACTATCAAAGATGACTGAACTTCCTGCCACGTCGTGCAGTAACTCATGCCTATAATCCTAGCGCTTTGGGAGGTAAAGGCAAATGGATTGCCTGAGTCCAGGATTTTGAGACCAGCCTGGGCAACTTGGCAAGACCTTGTCTCTACAATAAATCAATTAGCCAGGCATGGTGGCACTTACCTGTGGTTCCAGCTACTTGGAAGGCTGAAGCAGAAAGATCACCTGAGTCCAGCAAGTCAAGGCTGTGGTGGCCATGAGTGTGCCACTGCACTCTAGCCTGGGCAACAGAGTGAAATCCCTCCTTGAAAGAAAGAAAGAAAGAGAGAGAGAGAGAAAGAAAGGAAGGAAGGAAGCTACCAGCACAAGGCAGAGATGGCTGCTTCCTTATTCTCATCCTGAAATGTTATAGGGAACATACTTTACCTTGATCTTTCCAGTCCTGAGGAGGAAGTGAGACCAGGGACCACATGTAAGCTGAGGCTCCAGCCCTCTATGCATGTCCCATCAGCCCACCTTTACCAAACAAACATTTGAAGATAAAACTATTAAGACAGTAAGTGTACAGCAATGGACCTCAAGCTCTGCCCTCCCAAGCGGTGTGACTCCATGGCTCGCATGCCCGTGAAGTAGCTCTGAGGTTAGGTCTTAGAGGTTAGGGCTGCCCTAGAGGATCTCAGACCAGTCACTACAAGTATTAACCTTTCTTCCTGAGTCCGATTCGCCAGATGAGAACCAGTTCTCATTTTCATTACAACAAAATATTTAATAAGTGGAAGTCTCAGCTATTCATCCAGACACAAACGAACATTTTGTCCACTTTGAAAATTTGCCCTTGAATTATTCTGAATCTCCTGTCTAGACAAAGGGTTGGAGTCGTCCATAGGTCAGAGGTGCCATTTTAGCCTGCAGGATAGCCGTTTTGTGCCAACCTGTCTCTACCTCTCATGCTTACTAACAAACTGGTATGCAGTTTGTACAGAGGAAAAATCAGCAACCAGTGTCTGTTAAAGAGTGCCAGTCTTTTTGCATGGGGAAGGCATGGTTAATTATTCACCAAGGTCTAAGTCAGATAGGCCAACTAACTTAAGGGGCCTTTGATTCCCTGCTTCTTGAAAGTTGAAATGATTTTTAACAGAGTGGTCAAAAAACTCTAGAGGCAGATTGACTTTTATTTGTTTTTTTAAAGTAAACTGTAACACTAACTTTTTCTTGGGTCAGTCCACAATGAAGCCCTTGTGTCTTTCAAAATACCAATGTGATCGG